GGGCCCAGGGGCTGGGTGCATGGGGACCCGCAGGCGCTGATCGCCGGCCCCATGCCCAGCACGCGGTGGGGGCTCACTAAAGGCCCTCGCCCGTCTGCTGGCCTGCTCGCCCGGCGGGGCCCACGGTCCCGCAGGGCCCCCTAGGCTGGAGGACGCAGGACGCCTCAGGGGACAGGGTGCTGGGCTGGATGCCAAGCCTGCGGGCCCACCCTGTCCCCGACTCCACGTGGCCTTGGGCTGGGCTGGCGCTTTCACCGTGGGGGCCCCTGGGAGGCTGGGGCACAGGGAGTGGTCTGAGGACAGGTGGGACCTGCCCTGTTCTCTCCCCACGCTGACCTCTGGGCAAAGGCACCGAGACTCGGAGCAGGAATTCAGAGCTGGCATCCCCCACCTGTCACCTGGGGCCACCAAGGTGCCCGGGCTCAGGGGGGTCTGGGCCACTGCTCCTGGGGGCGGGCACTGGGGACAGGCTCCCAGCCCAGCTCAGAGTGGCCCACAGAAAGCCTTGCTCAGGGGCGGTGGGCAGTGAGGGCCTGGGCGGCGGGACCAGGGAGGGGCGGACACCTCCAGCTGAGCGCGGTGTGCCAGGTGGGCGTGGGCATTACCTGGAGACCGGCTGGAGGCCTTGGAGGCCGCGCGCTCCCGAGACTTGTAGGGGTACTTGAGCGTGGTGTCCAGCTGCTTGAAGCTCTCCTTGAGCGAGTGGCTCTGATAATACTCCACCAACTCCTGCAGGACGCGCGTGCCCGCTGACGGCCGTCACCTCCAGGGAGCCCTCCCGGGTGCCCCGGCCTCCCGCGCCCACCTCCGCGGGGCCGCGTGGGCGACTCCTCTCCCTGACCCCTGAGGAGTCCCCTTCTGCTCCCGCCCCAGCACTCGGCCCAGGGTGGGTGGTCAGCATCGCTAAGGTTCTGACCCGGAAATTTCTCTTCGCAAAGCTTCCGCAGGAAAACCCAGCGAAGAACAGAGTCCCGCGGTCTCCGTGGCGGAGAAAAGCGGTCCCCGAGCCCGAGGCCGGGAAGCGCTTCTAGAAACAACACGTATCCAGGGGTCCGCACGCCATGCGGGTGCCAGCCAGGGAGAAAGGAGGGTGACCCCGACGGCCAGCGTCCACATGCTGAAGGGCTGGCCAAAAGGCGGGGCCAGTGGTTCCGTGTGGAGAGGTGCGCGTGTGAACCACACTCAAGCTTTCTCGGAGGCGGCGAGGACGCGCCCAGGAACGTGGCCTTGGGCTTTGGAGGGTGCGGGGATTGTGGGCACTCTCTGTCCTACTCTGTGCTTTTCTGCGGCCACGGCGGGGAGGGTCTCAGAGGCGAGGTACTGTGGTCCCATGCTCTCAGGGCATGGACCACTTACAAGAAAGAAATCGTGGGTCTGATTTTAAAACCACCTGGAGGAGGACTGTGCTTTCATCTGCATTCCGGCTGCGCTGGGAAGGTACGCGCTACAGAGGCAGATGGGGGGGCAGGTGGGGGGCGAGGTCTACTGGAACACCTCCCCCCATGTGAGGCCGGCCACGTGCCAGGCCCTGGGCTCTGGTAGGACAGTCAGCGACCAGCTGCTTTTTTTTGCTGGTGGCCAGAGCGGTCAGGCCCTCTCCCCTCACCGTCCAACATGGCCAACCCACCTGGCCCTTTGCGGGGGTCAGGGGCACAGTCTTGACTCAGGGCTGTGACGACGCCCTAACTGTCCCAAGGTGCCCTATGAATGCATTTCCTTGGCTCCTTCCCACACTGGGAAAACTCGCTCTCCCCCAGGAAGTGGCCCCCAGCCCGGCTACGGGGGACCCCTGCTGGGCTCTCACCCCTCTGCAAGCCCGGCCTGCAGGGGCCGGGGTGCCAGACGCCCCTCGCCTCGGTGTGGCTGCGGTGGGCGGCTCGAGCCCTCTCCCACCCCTGGGGCCAGGCAGCGGGAGCCACAGAGCCACGTACCAAGAGGCTTTCAAATTTCTTCGCTTCCGTGATGTGGATCCAGCTGTCTTTCTCTACCACCTTGATGTGCTTCACCTCGTCATTGAACCTGGGCAAAGCGCACGGGCCTCAGTAGCCCCCCAGCCCCTCGGTCCGGGCTCCTCGCGAGTATGCGGGAGCACAGGCCTGGCCTCGGCTCCCAGCCCCTGCTGCTGCGGGCACGCCCTTTCGACCTTCGCCCCACAGCCCTTCACCCCACCCCAGCCGAGCCGACCCCCACTGCTTGTCTGTCCATCTGTGGGTCCCCTTTGCTGGTTTGGAGCCCAAATTCCCGGTCGGCGTCTAAGGCCTCAGGCCCCGAAGCCCCACACCTCTCGTCCATCCAGACACTTCTCAACTCAGGATTCTGCTCGCTTTCTTCTCTGCACTGGGACTGTCCCCCTCGTCCTGTCCCCCCACCTCCTGGTGAAGCCTTCACGGCGTGGTTTACAAGTCAAAGGCCTGACCTGGGCCCAGGAGGCCGAGGGAGCCGCCCCAACCCCAGCTCCGACACATCTCCCAATTTTCTCCAACTCTGCATGTTCCTCCCCAGCCGGGGGCCCCAGGCTCTTCCTCAAACACGCCAAGCACAAGCCTGCCAGGCACTCTGCGCCGGGCCCAAGACCCCATCCCGTGGGCGTCCTAGGCCAGTGGTGACCAACCCCCGGTCAGATTCTGTCTCTTGAAGAGGTGATGGCAGACCCATGAGGGGCAGCTCCTGGGAAGGGCACCCAAGTCGAAGGCCACTGGCTGAAGCTGCAAGATGGCAGCAGGTGACCTTTCTGTGCTCTCGAAGGCCCACCTGTGGGACTGCTGGGAAGTCCCTGAGCCCTCACAGTATCCCTGCCCCCCTGATACTTCTCTGGTCCCCATGATCTGAAAACGACCAAGCATGCCCACCGGGCAGCTGTGGGCTGCTGGCCGCTGGGTTGTCACACAGGGCCCAGGCCAGCCGCGCTGTACAGACCCATCTCAAAAGTGTCCTGCTGTGAGCAACTACTCCACAGCCACCCCCAACCCAGCAAACCCGGGAGATGGAGGGGACATGGCCTTGGGGGTCAGAACAGCGTGGGGGTTGGGTCCCCCGGCCCGCCGGCCGCACGTACTTGATGCTTATGGCGAAGCGCTCGGCCTCCGCCGGCCTCTCCCTGATCAGGTAGGTGCCGCTGGCGTGGGATTTGAGCAGGTTGTCCGTCTGCTGCCGCTCCATGTTGCCTGCAAACCTAGAGGAGCCGGGGGAAGACGAGGCTGCACCGGTCCCAAGGCCTGTGACGGCACCGCCCTGCGCCGACGGCTGCCATCTGCATAACGCCCCGCCAGCGGGCGAGCGGCACGTGGGGCCCAGAGGAGACCGGGGGGCGGGGGGCAGTCACATCTGCCCGTGAGCACATGGGGCACAGGGAAGATCATGGGGCATGAGGACCCCCGACCTTGGCCAGCCCCCTGCAGGTCCCGCTCGACAGCACCCGGGGCCTGCGAGGCGTTTCGCTATTTCACGAGCAGTGAGAAGTAAAAACAGCCCACGTGTGCGGCTTTTGTTTCTCGTTGGCACCCACCGAAGACCCCCGACACCTCCATGAACGAGTCTCGGACAGACCTCGACAGCAGGCTTTTCCCACCACCACCGCCCCAACACTGACCCTGCGCCCTGCCTCCCCGTCAGGCGGAACCGGACCTTATATGAACACGGAGCGACCGAGAGCGACTCCACGCTAACAGTCTGTCAAGGGCAGGTCCCAGCTCGGTCCCGCCCACGGCAGACCTGGTGCGGGCGGAGGACCCGCGCGGTCAGACTGACTCTCAGGGACACGACGGAGCTGCCGAGGCGAGGTGCCGGGGACGGCGAGGTGCGGGCACGCCGCGCCGCTGGGCACGGGTGGCTTCAGGGACGAGCCCCGAACCGAGAATCATAAGGCGAGGTACTCGGCGTAGAGGGTTACCGCACCGAAGCTGCCCGTCACAGTGGCCACCACAGGGTGTCACTCTCCGAGGCAGCCGGAGGCCCAGCAGGTGGAGCCATAAAAAGCTGGACCCAAGTCCGACCTGTGACTCGTCACCAGAACGTCCACCTTCCCTCGTCTAAAGAGCCTCGTGCTCTCATCAAGCAACAGCACGAGGACGTACGCGATTAGCACTTTGGCCTTAAACGAACCACTTTCGTATATTTTCTACAATAAATCTCAAGGTCACGCAAACGAAGGGCTGCCGTCTCTCAGACGTTCAGACCTGCGACCTGTCTGGCGAAGGGGAGTCACACCGAGAGCAGAGAGGAGCCCCCGGCTCCGCAGGCCAGGGCAGCGCCGAGACCCCAGACCCAGCCCGCTCTTGGGGGTGCGGGGCCGCACCCCACAGCCAGGGGCCAGAAGCTGCACTCACCAGGGGTAGGCCGAGTAGTCCATCTCCCGGGACGGTGGCCGGCCGATGGGTGGCTGGCAAAGGAACACATTCCAGTTAAAGCCCCCCAGGGGCCGCCCGGAGTCGGGGCTGGAGGGGCCCGTCAGCAACGACCTGCTCCTTCAGCCCCAGAACCACTGGATGGCACGGTCCCAGAGGGCAGCAGCCCGCACGCACCACCTCCGGGAGGGTTTGGCAGGATGAATGAGTGACTGACTGACTGACTGAATGAATGAATGAATGGGGAGCCACCGGCTAACGCCTAATTCCCAGGAGGAGAGTCACCGAAGGCAGGAGCAGGCCCTCAGCCGGGGACAGGGCCCTCCCCGCAGCTCCCTGGGGCAGGCGGGCCCCGGCCCTGGGCAGGCGTGTGGCCAGCAGCAGCATGGCCCAGGCGGCAGCCACACGCAGGACGGCAGGTCTGGGGACGAGACCCCTCGCTGTGGCCGCCTCGGCCAGAGCCCCGGCCTGGCCTCCCCTCGCTGGGCCGTAGGTAGGCAGAGCCTCCCGGACCACCGGCCCCCTCTCCGCCCACTCGCCACGCAGACGGGGAAACTGAGGCCCGAGGTTGGGGAGAGACCCGTGCGTGAGTGGCGCTTTTCCGCCAAAATGGCCCAGGACTTTCCCACTGAGCTGTCTTTTCCTGCGGGGGAGGGGCGATTCAATTTCTTCAAGGCCGGCGGCTTGATGCCTTGGTCGGGGCCGAGAATTTGCTCCAGGCCACGTG